GTAACTCAGGGCATATTAAATGACACATAATTTGCTAAAATTTTTCTTAACTTGATAAAAATTTTACCAACAGAAGCAAAGGTATTCATATATATATATTTGCAGAAATAGAAAAACTAGTCACTTAAAATTATTTCCTTACAATTACCTCTATATATTTTGAAATAACGTTCCTCACATACCCAAATTAGAACCACCTAGATATCAATTACATATTACACTTAGGATATTTTATATAGTCAGTGCTCAATAATTATTGTAAAAGAGAAATCTGTTTTGTTTAGCCAACCTCATATTGAGTACTACCATGCAGAAGTACATACAGCAACTCCAAGTTTACTTGTTCCTGGGTTGGGTAGCATTTATAACATTAAAAATAAAAATTCTTACCTCAATTTAGTTCCAAATATTTGGATCTGAATATTTTCTGGGAGGTCAGGAGCAAGCATTAGTTGTTTCATGAGTTCCAATGAAAGCAATCTTTGGATTTCATGAACCTTACCAAGGTTGGCTATGAGGGCATAGTGACTAAGTGATCTCAGACTAATATTTATAGCAGCCTGCATTTATGGAGCAGTGTCATATGTTTGAGTTAATTGATTATGAAAATTAAATTGATAATTATCTAACATTTAGTAAATCATATGTTCTGCCCTATATGCTGATACGGTTTGGTTGTGTCCCCACCCAAATCTGATCTTGAATTATAGCTCCCAAACTTTCCACATGTTGTGGGAGGGACCCAGTGGGAGATAATTGAATCATGGGGATGGTTTTCCTCCATATTGTTCTTGTGGTAGTGAATAAGTCTCATGAGATATGATGGTTTTATAAGGGGTTTCCCTTTTCACTTGGCTCTCATCATCTCTTGCTGGCTGCCATGTAAGACATACGTTTCACCTTCCATCATGATTTGAGACCTCTCCAGCAATGTGGAACTGTGAGCCCATTAAGTCTCTTTTTCTTTATAAATTACCCAGTCTCAGGTGTGTCTTTATCAGTGGAATGAAACCGAATTAATACAAATGCTTTATACCAAAAAGTTCATGTACACTGTGCTTGAAGGAACACCAATAAGTGCCATCTGGTGCAAGTAGAGTCACAGGCAGAAGGGCAGAAGATTCCTGGGACCCCTGTTCTCTTGCCTTCCTGTAGAGTGGCTCAGACAGATGCAGGTGGGCAAATCTAGAGACTCCACCTCTCAGTTGTTCTTTCCTTTCATAAGGAAAGAATGAGGCTAGCATTAAGGTTAGTGGTAATCATTTGGGCTTGAATGCTATGCAGTCAGAATTTAGGTGTCAAGTGCATCAGAGAATGCTGGAAACACCAGTTGTGTAGCACATGATGACTTTGGGAGAAATTGAGATCACATGTAGGCCTCCTGCTGAGGGGAGGGGAAACTATTCGTGCTGGGTAGCAAGCTCAAAAGAACATTTTCATCATTCAACAATTGTGTTTATTTCTTCACATTGATATTTACTAATTACCAGGCACTATACCATTTGATTTGACTGCATTGTCTCATGTAATACTTATAGATCCTTATGTGGTTTTATTCTTATATCCTTATGTGGTTTTATTCTTATATCCTTATGTGGTTTTATTTTTAGTGTCATTTATGGTTCAGCAAATGGAAGCACAGAGTACTTTATCCTTTTTCCCACTATATATATACTGTTTGCCAGAACCAAATATGTTATAAAGTACAGTACAGAAAGGTTGAATAGAGGAGTAACAGGCACTAGGGGGTTGAGGTCTTGATTTAGAATAGTGACTTTGGAAAAGCTGAGGCACTGATAAGTTTCATAAACATGGCAAAAGTTAATCTTCTCAATATCATACAGCTAATAGGTTGGGGAAGTACCAGGACTAGAGAAAAGTGAGTGAAATACCATGGCTACAAAATTGGAGTCCTCCAAAATACTCAATAATCAAAATAAATAATATTTTCATGCAGAATTTAAATTTTCAAAATTAATGCAGAAACCTATGATGAAGAAAATATCAACATTTTAAATAAAGACAGGATGCTTATTACTATTTCTCCTTTTGTTTCAATATGGTTGGCACAGCACTGGGTGGGAAGCTTGAACTTGAATTCTATCAGTCTGAAATCAGAACTCAAGCTCATAACCATTGTTTGCTGATATTTCTCAGGATATGAAAAATAAAGAAGGGTCAAATATTACCTACAGAATGTAAGACTGATTGCCAAAGATAACAGTGAAACTATGGACTTTATTCTCTAGAAGGGAAGCAGAAAAAATGCCTATTTCTCTTGTATAGTCCCATTTAGAAACTTAAGTATGTGCATAGTTTAGTTTCAAAACCAGAGGTCAAATAAAAATCTTATTTAACTTTAAACTTTTCTTGGCCTCTCTTGTATCTCTTGGAACTCTTTCATCAGTGCCAAAAATCCAATTATTGACCACAAGTAACCTAAAGCAGTTTTCCCGGCATTCAGTGGTATATTTTTCTGTAAGAAACCTTGGATATAATTAAGAATAACTTGAACACTGAGAAACATTTCTTATCTCATATAACAGAAGTGCTGAAGGTAGGGTGATTTCAACATTGGATACTTCAAGGCCTTAGCAATGTCATCGTGGACTCATTTTTTTTTTGTTTGTTTGTTTTAATCCTTGTTTTTCTCAAAGAGCCAGCTACTGTTCTCATGGTAACAAGATGACTGCAGCAGCTCCAGGCTTTTTGGTTCCCATCAGTAAAGTCTCTGTTCTTTTTAAGAGAATGAAAACCCCTTCTAGAATCTCCCCACCCAAAACATAATCATAAAATCAGTTGTGAGTTTATGTTTTTTGTTTGACAGCATATGGTGCAATAGTGAAGAATCTTGCTTTGGTGGCCTAAAATGGGTGCAAAACCTGGCTCCATCACTTACTAGCTATGTAACCTGAGGTATGTTATTTAAATTATCTGTGCCTCAGTTTTCCTCTGTTTAAAAACAAGGTATAAAATAATATACCTATGTCATTGTTTATTGAGAACAAAATGTGAGTTAATACATGTAAAGTTTTTATGATGGTGTCTGACTATTACTATTATTTTTAAGATGATCCTCACTGTCATGTATATAATTAAACTTACGAAAACATGAGAGCTAAGAAAGTACAATTACCTAAGTATCTCCTTAAAAAAGACATCAATAAAAGTTTTAGTTTACATTGAATAATATTTTTCCATTGATATGATCTGGATTTGGATGTGAGGTCTGAAAGAGATAATAAGAATCAACCTCAGGACTACTATCTTATTTAAATCAGAAAATCGGAAGCTGATCTCAAGCTAGGAACAATAACTTCATAAAAATAGCCTGCTTTAACTATTTTAGAGCCAGGCTATATATATATATATATATATATATATACACACACATATATATATTTCTGCAAAGTGCGTGTAGTGCATTTAAGCATAAGGATAATTAAACTGATATCAATTTTCTTGGATTTTATTGTTAAGTTCTTCAGTTAACACTTAGAAAGAAGGGAAGTGGAGAAATGGACTCCATCTATTCTCATCATAAAAATCTCATTTGCAGATTTCTCCATTAGGTATAAAATATACGAGTGCTAAAAATGCCTTTAATGTCAGAACAATCCAGTTCCTTACATATGGTTCTTTTAAAATCCTCAATTGCAATTATAAAATTCCATTTCCCTTTCCTAAGGTTTAATCTTACTATTCAAATGGCCATTTCTTGCTCACATGAAACTCTCTGGAATGCAGTAAAATAGGGTGCAAAGAGTGAAAGTAAATTATCAATGAATCATGGAGACAGGCTTCCTAGAGAAATTCGGAATCTAATTGCATCTCACCACACACACTGTTACCATCTTGTTAGAAATCCCCATCATCTTTCTCTTGGATTATTTCACTTGGCTTCATCCGTGTCTCCCTGTTTCCAGCCTGGAGCCCTTTCAGTCTTCAACAGAGCAAAGGAAGTCAAATCACTTCATCTCTGGGCTCAAATCTTTCAATGACTTTCTATGTTAATCAGAGTAAAAGCCTAATTTGATATACTTAACCTTCAGATAGTATAATACATTGATATAATTCTCGTCTCTTAAATATATCAAAGACAGAAGAGTCTCTGAAAAGCTAAAATAGTTTTAAAATTAAAGAAAACATAGCTCTAAAATTTAATTACAGATTGATAAAAAAAATCAGGTGCAATTTATACCATATTTCTAGATAGATCACCTCTTTAATCACGTGGCTATGCTTGCCTCTTCAGAGCAGTTTTAATATCATTGGAAGAACAAAATATAGGAAATTTCTAATCTACTTGCTTGCATTTTTGATGATTCAGTCTTTCATTTCGCAAACAATTTATATCTCCTAGGACATAGAAAAGGGAAGATTATAGATTCTATCCATTGAAGTTACTAGTAGTTCAAATATTTTTTTACTTCATGGACGGGAATGACTAACAGACAAATCCAATTTATTCCAACTAGAGCTTGATATGATCACTACCTTGACTATTCCAGATTCTTCCTGTGGTGTCACAAATTAGAATAAATGGAGCTAACAGTCTTAACTTAGCCACAAGTACCTTACTCAACTTGGAGAACTCGTTATTTGTCTGAAAACTTACAGAGCCGTATTTTCTATGATGCTGTCCCATACAATATGGGCCAAAATGGTTTCTTCTATTCCTGAACATCCATAACATGGGGTTTATTTGCAATTTGTGTAATATAATACATATTATTTTAATTCATTTCTAATTTTTTCCTTTGCTGACTTTTATTTGGATTATAAACTTCCCAAGGGCATTTTCTTTCTTGGCACACATGCATATTACAGCAAAATAAAATTTCTATTGTTGAGCAAAAAATTTTAGCCAGGAGATATTTAGAATCTTAAAATTGACATATTTATTCTGTCAAAAGAATAAATCAATAAAAACAGCTTTTCTTAAATTCTTTGGAAATGTTCACAAAACTTTTCTTTTTTCTTTTTTTAATTACTTTTAGCAAACTCTATTGCCAAGATTGGCTCAGATCCTTTAAAACTTGTACATGATGCTATGGAGGAAACCACGGACTGGATCTATGGCTTCTTTTCTTTGTTATCTGACATCATCTCATCTGATGCTGATGAAGAAGATGATGATGGTGACGAAGACACGGATAAAGGTACAAAGAACATAGAGACATATCTAACTGCTAGGACCAATATTAGATATGTGTTACAATGGCTTGCTTCAGTTTAATTTCAAATGAGCATTTGAGTCAAGCTAAACCAAAATGAATACACTGCTGACTGCTAAAAGCATATCAACAGGCTGCCAAACACAGTAAACTGGTCTTCATTTGATTTTCATCTTATAGCTTATCTGACATTATGGCAAAGATGTCAAAATTAAATGCTAGTATTAATGTAGCATTACAGCAAAGATAATCTCATTATGCACTACTATAAAACTATGATACAAACTCACATTTATATGCTTCTTTGGAAAAAATTAATAGTTTATCTCTAGGAAGATTAAAATAAAAACGGTAAAACTGAAAATATATGTAAGGGTTTTATACGCATAAATCATATTTATAGTCAAATAGCAGAAAGCAATCTTACTAAAAGCATAATCAAAAGAGTAAATTTATTGAACCAAATGGTGGTATAGAATAGAAGGACATATTCTAAGTGTTATAAAAATTATGCAACTAACCTATGTGCTCTCTCATATATATTAATGAGTAAAAGGAAATAGTCAACTCAAACCACATAAAAACTGCCATGGAATGGATATGAAAATAACAAAGCATTGTGATTCCATCTATTAGATAACATTTTTTAGGATCAGTCTTAGTCATCAGAAATCATGTATTCAACCTTGACTACCAGGAAAGCTTTTATTATTAGAGTGCTTTTATGACTTTTCCTGAATTTATATTTGTTTTGGTGCCAGTAAGAATTCAAGATGAACAATAGAGAACTGAAAATAACATGATATGTAACCTATAATGTATAATTTGGATCACTGCCACAATTTTATTGAATTCATAAAAATGAAACAATCTTAAATAAATGTACATAAAGTTTATACTTAAAAACTGGAATTTAGGAAGCAAAGTAATACAAAGACTATAACAGTTAAAACTAATACATTTTTAAGTGAACAAAAGAAAAGGGAAAAATGGTGATGTCATATTGTGCTGTGTTAAAATATTTTATAATCTTTTTTTTTTGTTGTTTTTAATCTTTGTTTAGGAGAAATAGAGGAGCCTCCCTTAAGAAAAAAAGGTTGGTTGTTTGCACTTTTGATAATAATTCCTTTTCTCTTATGGTAGTATTGGTTTCCAGCATAGTTCAAATATATTTCCTTGAGTTGTAGCCTTAATTTATTTTAATATAAAGGTTTTATTTAATAATTAGGTCAAGATTTATAGTCAGTAAAAGAAAATACTCAATTTCTTTTCCAATGAAGTCACCTTCATTGGAAAATACCTCACTATTTTTCTGTTGATTATTTTTTATATGCCTTCTTCAGTAGATTTGCATGAATTCATCTATACATAGACAAGTTAGCTGGAATCTGAGGAATGAGGAAAGAATTTCTTAGCCTTAGAAATAGTCCGAAAAATAATGACACTCATGATTTATTCTCACCATGGTTAGATGTATTGATTTAAAATTTTTATTCTTATTCTTTTTCTTGTTATTTTCTAGCCAGCATTATTTTGCAATTTAGGTGATGACTATGGATGGGGACAGCAAGATGGTGAGGGACATAACTGTCTAGGAGGCAAAGGCTCTTATCCAATCAGTATGTGTGACATGTCATTGTCATGGAGTAGAGTCACCTCGGTGTGTCTGGATATGCTGTAAAGGAATTCCTTGCAGGAATAGATAAGACAACCTGAATGATGAGAGCGGTAAACTAGGACAAAGGAGGACAGCAATGGGGCAAGAATGTCAGATGGGCAGGGCAGGGATTTTTACAGGAAGGAGTAGGAACTGCACCTGGAAGGGGCACTGGGAAGGAGGTGGTACCTTGGTATCCTGAGGTACATTGGTTGTGAGTAAAGAGCCAACACTTAAGTCAGACTTGAAACAATTGCAATGTTTTAGTTACTGCTACATATGGGCAAACTGTTGAGGGTATTTACCCAGTCAGATAACACTGGGTTCTCTTGGTCTCTCCTAAGACCTACTGTGGGTTCAAACAGTGGGATTACAATTTCAGCCTTCCCTGAGAAAATGATGACTACCCCACACTATGTAGAGTAAAATCCACTTAGTGTATGTTAATTTAGAAACTTTGAATTTGTAACTTATGCAGCAAAAAAGAGCTAAGCCAGTCAAACTCAACTGTGGCAAAGGCATCCAGAAATGAATGTGTTTATAAAGTTCTGTGAGGAGAAATGAAGGGTTTCTTCACCTACAAATCCAGAATGAGAACTCAAGCACCCAAGACAGACTTCAGCCATCAAATTCAGGCTTAGAGAGTCTCGATTAGTCTATAAACTTCAAGAAATCAGGAGGAGGGTCTTTTTGTAGCTGATTTCCCATAAAGAGTGACTACAACACAGTCAAACTTTAAATGAGGTATTAGTCATTATCTGGAAATAACAGCTAATGCATGTTTATTTTCTTTGGAAATGGAAGAGGGGAAAACAAATAATGTTTGCTCATTTATACTTATAAACTGAATTCCATAAGGATATCATAAAGCCATATTTTTCATAAATTGATATTTATTGTTTAATAAAAAATATCTTCTTTTGATTTAAATTTTTCTTTGAAATTATTTTAAAATTATGCTTCATAGAGCTATTAGTATAAACTGCAAATTCACACAAAGCTGTTTTACTATTGTTTCTTAAATCATTACCTTGATTGACCAAATCAAAATTTTAACAGAAAAACTATTAAATAGTTGTTCAGGGGACTTTCAAAAAATGTTAGGAATGCTTATTAGTCAAAAATAGTCTAAGGGATATATGTCCTTAAACACTAATGTATGTATATATTAGTGTATGTACTCTTTAAAGATTACATACTCAAAATTAGGATAATTGACTTAAAGTCACCAGAATATATTTTCTTAATAGTATTATTCACAGGGTTACAAGAAAACAAATTGATATTTAAGTAAAAATCTCATATGCCTTATCTTGGGTTCAGAGGCTATGTAATAATAAACCATAGTTGAAAGTGAACTCAAGGAGATCTATTTCATTGTAATTATTATTTTTATGTATAGGCTTTTCTTTGATAGAAGTACAGAGGCAATGAGAGCTTTAAAGTAGTAGGTAATATTTTATAAAACATTTATAATACACATTCTACATTTAAAGTATACTCCTAACATTATTACTAGGGGAGAAATTCTATAAATTATTCTTGTCTTATAGGTCATTTTATTTAGTTTTGCATTTTAAAATTTTGTTTAAAGAAGGAATTGAGGGCAATATAGAATGATATAAAATGATAGTCTCTTAAAACGTGATTTTCGTCCATCTAAATGACTCTTTATTAAGACTCTTCTCAATTCACATATATTCAATAATATTTAGTCATTTTATATTGCCAAAATTATCAGACTGTAGCATTTTATATGTCCTATGTCTACCTAAAGCATTTTATTTGAATACACTTAGTTTTATTTGTTCAGATATTGCTATTCTTAACAAAATAAAAATTCAACCAACTTGTTTTTTATGGTTGAAGTCTGCAGTTCTTAATTTGATATGAAATAATGGTGCAGTCAACTAATCTCAGGGTTGCAGTATTGATTATTAAACAGATTATTAATATGGATGAAATATATTTGATTCTGCTAGTCTGTGGAATCTATTGTTATATATAAATATAGCTTCAGGGTATTACATGTAGTACCTACTGTCTTTATATTCTCCATGCATAGTTATTTTTGAGCTTGTCAAAATTTTAAAATACTAAGTTCTATTACCAAACACTTCATGATGAGACCACAAGGCACTGAATCTTTAGAAAATACCAGATTTTATCACACAATTGTCTAAAAATCATAACTATGAAAAAAATACTATTATAAATAATACTTTCTGAAAAAAAAATATTTGCTGTGTATAGTGGTATAGTTTGCACATCTGGAAGTGTGCTTTTGACCAATATTCTTCTCACCAGGGTATACATCATGGATATGTTAACACCTTACTTTCTAAGGGGTAAATAAGTGCAGAGAGATTTAAAGGAATTAAATACCATTTTAATGTTTTTCTAAAACTGATCTTCTTGAGAACATGCCCAAGTTTACAACTGTACTATTTTCGCTTCAAATATAAATAAATTTGTTTTTAGTTTTTTACATCCTTTGATGTTACTTGGAAGGACACATAAAATTAAATAACATTGCCCTAATAAGATTTGTGTGTGTGTGTGTGTGTGTGTGTGTGTGTGTGTGTACAGATGTGCATAAGGCTTCTCAATACTTGTATCTTTAAAACTAAAATATAGGATTAGATTTGTTGATGAACCTTGTCTCATTCTAACTGTAGAATACATTAATCCACAGATAGGTAAACTATTTTTAAAGCTCCATTCTCTAGATGGCATTCTAAAAAAAATTCATTTTTCAGGTTTAACAGTAACTTATGAAGATTTGCAATATATTAACCTTAGATTCTTGGATTCTTACAGTCTAAAGGTTAATATATTAGAGGATATAAAGAAAATTTTAGAATTTCAATGGATATACTTTTTTCCTTAGAGAATCATACTATAGCTCTTGAATAAATTTTTTTGTGAGAAAGGTGTAATGAAAATATAAATTCAAAAAGAAAAGAGAAAGATAAAAAATTTTCTAATGTTAAGAAAGAACTTTTTGATATATATTTTAAGTTGATAATGCTGTCTAAAAATATTGTAGCGTTTGGAGTCCATCAACTCAGTTTTCAAAAGGGATAAGGCAACTTTATTTTTAAACATCAACATTTACAATAATCTATAAATTATATAACTTGTAACCTTTTAACTTATGATGAAAAATTTTAGAACCTGTGAGATGCGGAGTTTTGCCAGATTTCTAAGAACTGTAAAAGGAAAAAAATTAAATATGATTGTAATAGAAAATAAACATTTTGTTTTCTGGGTAACTCATAGGTTTCTGAGTGACAGCAAAGCACAGAGGTCTAAGATTTCACAGCAGTGCAATGTGTATCCTTAGCTAATCACTAACGTGGAATATAGATAGACATGTTTTATGCCTCTGGGATTAAACTCAGTCAACAAATGTATATTTCAATTAATCTTTTTCAAGTGTTCTCTATGAACCAAGCAATGAGCTGGTGGGAGAGAACATGCACTATTTGCTTACCACATTCCCAAAGACTAATGATGAAATGTATTAAATAAAATAATAAATGACTGTAATGGAGTTTTAATGTGGTATTGCTAGTATCAGGATCAATGCAACATGGTATTTTACAGCTTAATTGAAAAGGTATAAAAGATTATCTTACTTAGTAAAATGTCCTACAAAGACCACAATTAAAAGTTTAATGGATACATGATCAAATAAGACAGTAAATAAGATAGAATAGTTGGGACATTGTATATTTGATAAAAATGAGGATAAATCTTTATATGATGTTATCATAAATAAATTGAACTGAAACAATATGAAATTAATAATAGTAATGATGATATAAATGGATACACTCTATTTTTTAGAAACATAAATAAATTTTAATTTACTTAATTATTCACAAAGACCCAAATTTAAAGTTAAAACCAGGCCCAGGCTCTGTGACACACACACACACACACACACACACACACACACACACTCACTCTCTCTGTCTCTCTCTCTCTCTCTCTCTCCCCCCCCCGCCAGAGAAACAAAAAGGGAGGGAGAGAGAGAGAGAGAGAAGCAAGAATCCAAAAGTCTTAAAGCAAAGTTAAAAATATATGTTTTTTCAGCGTAGAAATCTTAGTATTTTTCTCTCTTTATGTTCAAAAATAAAATACTGGTTTATTACTTGTTTATCTTATTAATAAAATACTGTTACTAATACTTTTAAGTGCAACTTAACAGATACACCTATCTCTAGTTCCTTTTTACAGTTTATTCTTAAATTTACATCTATCTATCTATATCTTTATATAAGAATAATCATTACAGCATTTATATCCTTTGGAATATGTAATTTTAGAAGACAATAATAGGCTTCTAACAAGAAATTAGGTTTTGTAATGTCTTTTCCTGACATCTAGCTTTAAAGTTAAGATAGAATAATTGTAGTCATTCAGAGCCATGC